GTGGGAGGAGCATAGCAAGTTAAAGGGAGTGAAAAAATGTGGTTGGAGCACAGTTCAGGGTGAGGCTGGAGGGTGGGCAGGGGTCACAATGCCCAGGGCCTTCAGGGCACGTAAAGGGGTTTGGTTTTAGAAGCTTCCAGGAATTATCAGTAAAGAGTGACTTGGTAAGATCAGAGGGGTGTGTGTGTGTATGTGTATGTGTGTGTTTTGGGAGAGGGGAGAGAGAGTGATGGGGCACAGAGCTTCCAAAGCCATCCAATTTTTGTAATATGTTTAAAAACTCTCCTGACACCAAAATTACAACTACACTACAGAACAACTATAATTCAGAACCATCTGAAATCTAGCTGAATGGAAATCCTATAAGTAGGAAATTAAAGAAGAGGCCATATTGAAACTGGTAGGAGGGGTGGAGATACAGAACACGCTGGTCCCACACCCACATGTGATGGATAAAAATCAGGAGGGATATCTTGGCTGCAGGGTCCCCCCTGAGGAGTGAGAGGTCCCAGCTGCATACCAGGCCTCCCAGCCCAGGGTTCCAGGCCAGGAAGAGAAGTCCCATAACTTCTGGCTGTGAAAACCAGCAAGTATTGAGGCTGAGTGAGACAGGGCTGCTGGAGCCCGAGGCAGTTCCTCTTAAAGGGCCCACACACAGACTTACTCAGACTTATTCCCCCTGAGCTCCAGCACTGGGACAGCAGCTTGAAAGACACCAGAGATGTAAAGGGAGGAACTGAAGTTTCTGGCATCAGAGCAAGATATGGAGGGGCAGCTTTCTCCCAAACAGAAGTGCTGGCATAGGCCAGCATTGTTCCTTTTCTGAGCCTTCCCCCAACAGAGCCAGCAGGCAGACACCATATCTTGAGGCTCCATCAAACTGGCTCACACTGTTTACTCCACCCTGTTGATTCCCTGAGGCTCTACCTCATCCAACTTGTGGACCTACCCAAGCTGTTTCCAGTGGTTTTTCTATACAAATGGCCTGTCTTGCCTCATGCTTCAGATTTTCTTAAAATTTCTCAAACAAGCAGTATCTGGCCTCAGCTGGTCCCATACCTCTCACTAGGTGGCCCCAGGCCTGGCAGTAGCAGCAGCTGGCCTTGATTTACAGCTTGGGTTTGTCTGGTTACCTCCAAGCCTAGCATAAGTAGCAGCCATCTGCAGATCACTTTATAGCTCATTATGATGGCTGGCCCTGGGTAGAATACAGGTAGCCGCTGACCTCGTCCTATACCTCCCAGGAGGCTCCAGAGCCAGTCCACCCAGTGAACAGCTTCAGACCATGTCAAAGCACCACCCAACCATCTCCATAAGCAACACACTCAAGGAGTAGAATCAGTAGCCACCAGAGCCCTGATGAAATAAGTCCTGCTCTGTGGGGTGGGCACCTGCACAGCTGTTCCTCCATAATGGTTGGTGGTCACAGCCAGTCCTTGTAGATGAGCAGCCTAGGGGTATATCCCTCCTATTGGTGTGTCAACAGCAATCAAGGATCAACTAGAAAAGGAGAGTGTACACAGCTCACACAATGGGGGGCACACCTTGAGTGCCCAGTTTGGATGAATGGGGAGGCTGTGCTGCTGGACCCTTCAGAATACCTAGTACATAAGGCCACTCTACCAAGCCTGGGAGACGTAGCAGCTCTGCCTAATACATAGAAACACAGGGAGGCCTAATACATAGAAATGAGGAGACAAAGAAACATGTCCCAAATGAAAAAAACAGAACAAAACTCCAGAAAAAGAACTAAATAAAATGGAGACAAGCAATCTACTAGATGCAGAGTTCAAAACACTGGTTATAAGGATGCTCAATGAACTTAGGGGAAGAGTAGATGAACTTAGAGAGCACTTCAACAGCATAAGAAAGGACATGGAACCATAAAAAAAGAACCAGTCAAAAATGAAGGATACACTAACTGAAATGAAGAATAGTTTACAGGGAAGCAACAGTAGAGTAGATGAAGCCAAGAAACAAAACAGTGATTTGGAATATAAGGAAGCATAAAACACCTAATCAAAACAGCAAAAAGAAAACAATCCAAAAACATTAGGATAGTGTAAGGAACCTTGAGGTAACTTCAAGCATACCAGCATTCACATCATGGGGATACTGGAAGGAGAGGAGAGGAGAGAGAGCAAGAAATTGAAAACCTATTTGAAAAAATAAAGGCAGAAAACTTCTCTAACATTGGTGAAGGAAATAGACATACAAGTCCAGGAATTGCAGAGAGTCCCAAACAAGATGAACCCCAAAAGGCCCACACCAAGGCACATCATCAGTAAAATGCAGAAGGTTAATGACAGAATCTTAAAAGCAGCAATAGAAAAGCAGTTACCCAGAAGGGAGCTCCCATAAGCCTGTCAACTGATTTTTCAACAGAAACTTCGCAGGACAGAAGGGATTGGCAAGAAATATTCAAAGTGATGAAAAGCAAGGACCTACAACCATGACTACACTACCCAGCAAAGCTATCATTTAGAATCGAAGGACATATAAAGAGCTTCCCAGACAAGAAAATACTAAAGGAGTTCATCACCACCAAATTTACATGTAATGTTAAAGGGTCTTTTTTAAGAAGGAAAAAACCATAAAAAAAAAAAGAACAATAAAATGGCAATAAATACATATCTATCAACAATTGAATGTGAAAAACAAAATAAACAGACAAGCAGAACAGAAACAGACACATAGACACAGAGAACATTTTGATGGTTGCTAGATGAGATCTGGTGTTGGAGGATGGGAGAAAATGTGAAGGGATTAAGAAGTACAAATTGGTAGTTGTAGAATTGTCAAAGGTATGTAAAGTACAGCATAGGGAATATAGTCAATAATATTCTAATAACTATGTATGGTGTCAGATGGGTATGAGATTTATCGGGATGATTACTTAGTAAGTTATATAATGTCTAATCACTGGGGTATACACCTGAACCTAATATAATAATGTGTTTCAACTGTAATTGAAAAAAATAGAAGGAAATGCTAAATGTTAGTTAAAGGTTAATGAAAATAAATATGTGATTTTTTTTTCTTAAAAAAAAAAAAAGAAGAAGAAGAAGAAATAGCCCTGGCTGGGTGGCTCAGTTGATTAGAGCATCATCCCATACACCAAATGGTTGTGGGTTTGATTCCTAGTCAGGGCACATACTTAGGTTGTGGAATGGATCCCTAGTTGGGGTGTGTATGGTAGGCAACTCATCTATATTTCTCACCAATGTTTCTCTTTCTCTCTCTCTCTCTCGCTCTAAAAAGTGATAAAAACACACACACAAAAAACCCACATATCCTCTGGTGAGGATAAAAAGAAATAATTTTTTAAAAATCCTCTTAACATCACATTCTGGAAGGGAAACAGGAGACTTCAATTTGGTATAAAAAGAGGAGTGAGGAAAGGGGAACAAGAAAAGATTAGGAGATGGGGAGAGAAGGAGAAAGAAAACAGTGAGGAAGGATTTGAGGGGTGTGGTTAGAGAAGGGGATATGACTCAAGAATTCCAAGACTGTTGATCACCCTGGTAGTTCTGGGTATATCTGGTGCACCTCGGAGATCCCAGCATTCCCAGAGATTGCCTGTGGAATTTGCATATTGAAGTGGTTTATTGAGCCTAAGATGCTAAACCCTCACTTGCAGCGTCTATCCACCTTTGCTTCAAGTTTCTAGCAAACGTGAGGTTCAGGTGTGGGGGCCACAGCGGGTTTCCTACTAAAGAAGTCTGGGTCTGGGGGATGTTGCTTTCTGCTCATTCTCTCCCCATGCCCTTACCTGGTGCAGCAGGCCCAGGCTTGCTCCTGTCAGCTCGTTACAGTGCTGATGAAGTGGAGGCAGAAGGGACAACAGCCTAGGCCTGCTGACAACCAAGGAGCCTAAAGGAGAACACTACCTAGCTATGGCTTCCAGCTTCTTGCCCCTAACTCATACCATCTAGCCTCCTCCCTGGAGTTGCCTCTGGAAAGTCACTCTGAATCTGATCCTGCCTGGCCTTGCCACCTCATGGAGAGGGTACTGCCATCCTTCTCTGTTTATGGCAGGTGGAGTCCCTGATTGTTTTCTAGCAATCTGGAGGATCCTTTTCAGGTTCCTTGGGGCCAGGGATTTTCTTTTTTTTTTTAAATTAAAAAAAAAAAAAATGTCTTTATTGATTTCAAAGAGAGGAAAGGAGAGGGAGAAAGAGAAACATCAATGATGAGTCATTGACTGGCTGCCTCCTGCACGCCCCCTACTGGGGATTGAGCCTGCAACCTGGGCATGTGCCTTGACCAGGAATCGAACTGTGATCTCCTGGATCATAGGTCAATGCTCAACTGCTGAGCCATGCTGGCCGGGTGGGGGCCAGGGATTTTCAGGGCTGGGCCTGGGAGCTCTGAGGCACTGAACAGGCTTCCTCAGGCCCTCTCAGGCTCTTTCTGCCACTCCCCTTAGTCTTACTGAGCCTTTTTGCAATTTTGGCCTTGTGCCTCCCACCCCCTTCCTCATCTGATATGTAGAGGGTGTGGGGGCCGGCTCCTGCCAAGTACACAAGTAAGTGCACATGTGAGAGTCCTCACCTCTCCTTGGAGCACAAATGCTTGACACGTGTGGATCCAAGCCTGTGAATCAGCTGTACACCCATGGTTTGCATTGTCCAAATCATGTGTATTCTTCCCTCCTGTACCCCTTCCTGGGTTATATGTGAGAGGGTTATATGTGAGAACTGTGGTAAGGCCTGTGTCCCTGCTTCCCTTTGTGGGGATGACGAGAGATGGTGCTGGTGTTTAGGGACCTGGTGGGGATAGGCTTCCAGGGATGCCTTTCACTCTCTCTCATGGGGCTGCAGAGATAAGCCTAGTGGGAAAGGAAATGAAGCCAGAAGAACAGGTTGCAGAAGGAAGCAGTCACTTGTCCTCAGTGGCAAGTGAGCCTCTCTGCTGTGACTGGAATTCCCAGGTGGCCTGGGAGCTTCTTGGGGAGCTGTGGTTTGGTGCTAAGTCTGTTGTCCAACTCACCTCCCCAGGTGTGTGGTCGTGCTGTTCAACCCCCGGAAACACAAACAGCACCACATCCTCAACAGTTCCAGGTAAATGGGTCTGGGCCCTCAGGGAGCACCTCCTTCTCCTGGGACTATGACAAGGGCACAGCCTGGGGTCTATGTGGCTCTTGGAACTGGGACCTGGTTGGGCCCCAGAGCCAGAGAGGGAAATGCCACATGTGCCATTGGTATCTGCTGGTCTTGCCTTTTGAGGGAACTGCGAGGGAGCCAGGCTTAGGCCAGGCTGTCAGTGGCCTGTCTCATCTCTTGCAGGAAAACCATCACTGCCCTTGCTTTCTCCCCTGATGGCAAGTACTTGGTCACCGGAGAGGTGAGTGAGGAAAGGGGCTCCAGTTCTCTGAAAAGGGTGGGTGGTCTGCCCTCAGCCTGAGAGCTACAATCCTAGGCCAAGTTAGGGCTGTTGCCACTTTGGCTTCCTAAACAGAAGCCAAATCCTAGTGTTTGCTACACCTTAAAACAATGGTTCTTAAGCTTTAGTGTGCATCAGAATCACCTGGAGGTCTTAGTGCTGGGCCTAACCCCAGAGTTTTCGATTTTATAGGCCTGGGATGGCGCTTCAACATTTGTATTTCTAACAAGTTCCCACTTCATGCTGATTCTGTTGGTTTAGGAAGCACACTCTGAAAACCACTGCCTTAAAATATCCCTTATCCCCAGAGGCCCCCTGCTGGGCACACCTCAGCCTTACAGGGAGGCATTGGGGGAAGAAATAGGATGAATGGTAGTAGTTCTCAACCCTGGCCGTCCATAGAATCATTCAAGGAGCTTTGAACAAATACAGAGGTGTGGACCCTCACCCAGAGATATTGAACAAAATCTGGGGACATTTTTTCCCTAATAATCACTATCGTCCTGAGATATTTATTGTTTCCTCTTTACCTTTGTCCTGTATAGCACTCTGCTCTTGACTCTTGGCCAGAAGGTCATTAGAGAGATTGTGTCCAGTAGCTGGGGAGGTGAGGGCCCCCACTCTGAAAGGCTAGTGGGGGTCTGTATGCTTCTGGCCCTCACTTCCAGTTCTTGCCTCCCTGCAGAGTGGGCACATGCCAGCAGTGCGAGTTTGGGACGTGGCTGAGCGTAGCCAGGTGGCAGAGCTGCAGGAGCATAAGTATGGTGTGGCTTGCGTGGCCTTCTCCCCTAGTGCCAAGTACATTGTCTCCGTGGGCTACCAGCATGACATGATCGTCAACGTCTGGGCCTGGAAGGTGAGTGGGCTGAGTGGGCAGGCCTGGCAGCCTCATGAGGGTTTGAGGGCCAGTTGGGGAACCAGGAAGATACTGACCTGAATCCCTTCACTCTACTCTGCTGATCTCAGTCTCATTCTAGAAAATGATCTGAAGTAGGAAAGAGCAACTGTAGCCAAGCGTGTTGGTAGAAAGGGGCTAGTTCATGCCTCTGAGGGCCTCTGGGGGAAATGAATCTCTTTATCTCCTCTAGAAAGGGAGTCTCATCCTCCCCTTTTTTTCAGACCAGTAAATCCTGGAAAGAAACTTTTTTTTCCCCAAACGCAAATCCTATCTAACCTTCCTCTCCTCTGTGCCTCTTTCTTCTTAGCTCCAAGAGGCAGAACCTTGATTCTTCCTTTGGCTTTCCCTCCAGAAAAACATTGTGGTGGCCTCCAATAAGGTGTCCAGTCGGGTGACAGCGGTGTCCTTCTCTGAAGATTGCAGCTACTTTGTCACTGCAGGGAACCGACACATCAAATTCTGGTACCTTGATGACAGTAAGACCTCAAAGGTGAGATGCTGAGGCTGGAAGTAGCCACCAGGGCCAGGACCTGCTCAGCCCACCCCAGGAGACTCTGCTCCTAGAAGGCCCTTCTCTGTTTGGTCAGCAGCTATACAGAAGTTCTGGATGGGCTAGGTGCTCTCAGGACCGAGAAGTAGTCTCAAAGAGCAAGGGGGGCCTAGTTTCTAGGGGCAGGCTCTGGAGTAGATGGGTGAGCAACAATGGTGTATCTCCACAGGTGAATGCCACTGTGCCCCTGCTGGGCCGCTCAGGGCTGCTGGGGGAGCTACGGAACAACCTGTTCACTGATGTGGCCTGTGGCCGAGGGAAGAAGGCAGACAGTACGTTCTGCATCACATCCTCAGGGCTGCTGTGCGAGTTCAGTGACCGGAGGCTTTTGGATAAGTGGGTGGAGCTGAGAGTAAGTACCCCTGGCCCAGTTGATTGGGGCTGTGCATATCTTGGCTTGGGTGAGAATTGATGCCTGTAGCTCTGTATCAGGGGCTGGGCCCTCGTGCATGCAGGAGGGGACCCCAGGAGAAAGAAGCTTGAGGGAGCTGGAGCTTGGCCTAGTTCCAGCCCATGGAGATCTGTACAACTGCCTCTCTCTGCTCTCTTTCTGTCTTTCTTTCCCCTGCTTTCCTCTTCTGCTCAGAACACAGACAGCTTCATAGTAAGTGATGCCTAGACTCTCCTGTCTTTCTCGTGCTGGGCTTTCTCATGCTGGGCTTTCTTTCTCTTTGCTGGGCTTTTCCTACTTTGTTTTCTTTGCTAAAAACTCTAGCACGTTAAGACAGTCCCTGACTCCTATCCCCCAAACGGCACGCGGCTGTGGGCCCTCTGGCCACCTGCTGTTGGAGGGAGGGGCATCTTTAGATAACAGCTGAGAGGCTCAGGCCAGAGCAGCTGGGCTGCTTTTCGCTTGCCCTTGTCTTGGCTGGTCTCTCCTCTTGGCAGGTGACTATTGAGGAGGGGTTGGCAGGTGGCCTGTGCTGACCTGAGCCCTTCTGCCTGCAGACCACCGTGGCGCACTGCATCTCTGTGAGCCAAGACTACATCTTCTGTGGCTGTGCTGATGGCACCGTGCGCCTCTTCAACCCCTCTAACCTGCACTTTCTCAGCACCCTGCCCCGGCCCCATGCCTTGGGGACAGACATTGCCAGTGTCACTGAGGCCAGGTGAGCTATGTGGGCCCCCTGCCTCCATTCTCAGGCTCATGCTGTGCCCAGCCTTCAGGGAACAAGGTGAAGAGTATCAGTGCCCCAAAGATAACCAGAAGTACCTCCATAGACAAATAAATTTGGGTTTATTGGTACTTATTGCAACCAAGGGGAACCAGGGAGTATCTCAGTAAGTTGGGGCTATTTTAAGTGTGGGAGTATTGTAAGATTTAGGGTATTGTGTGAGGTGATATTAGAAATGGTTCAAGATATTGAAATTTTGCTCTGGTAGGATGCTTTCAGGAATTGGGAGCAATTGTATAATTAGGCATTCTAATAATTTTTATCTAAAAGGTGGGACTAAAGCTGTAATTGGTAAAGAGGCAGCAGTCAATCCTGATAGACAGCAAAGGGTGGTGTTTGGTTATTTTTGTGGTTTGCACAGTGATCTTGTTTTTATCTCTGTCAGACACAATGACACTAGTCTTGTTTTTGCTTTGCTCCGTCACGGACATAGTGACCTTGTCTGACACTGGTGTTCTGTGACATTGTGTTCATCAGGAGAACACCATGGCCCAGCAGCTAGTGCCAGGTCAGCTTCCAGTTAATGGCTTTCAGGGGCTGCTTTTGTCTTTCTTAGGCAACTGCTTTTAAACCTGCAGGTCTGGAGAGGGCTCCCCATGCCCCGCTCCTTCCTTCATGGGTTAGCTTCTGTTTCGTTCCTTTCAGTCCTTCATTTTATCAGCTTCACACTCACCAGTTTGCTTGTCCTCTTCCCCACAGTCGCCTCTTCTCTGGAGTGGCCAATGCCAGGTATCCAGACACCATTGCCTTGACCTTTGATCCCACCAATCAGTGGCTGTCTTGTGTATACAACGACCACAGCATTTATGTTTGGGATGTGAGGGACCCCAAGAAAGTGGGCAAAGTGTACTCGGCTCTATATCATTCCTCCTGCGTCTGGAGTGTGGAGGTATGTGGGCTGGGATGGCTTGAGACTGGCCAGGTTTGCTGGTATACCGTTGTGAATACAGAAAGTGGGGATCACCAAGTATAACACTGTGTTCCTGCTGTCTCCTTGTTTCTCTAGCAACATCCTTGTATCTCTGCCTATCTTCAGATGAGTCCTAAGGATTGAGCTTGAATTTTAGTGCTTATATATCTTAGGCTTCTTCCAATATGCCCCTGTCCATTCTTAGCTTTTCGTTGTCCTCGGCTCAGTGATTTTGGACAAGTTAATGAACTTGACCGAGTTTTAGTTTCCTCAGCTGTAAAGTGATGTACCTGATTCATCTCGTTGTCCTAAGTATTAAATAAAATAATGTTAAGTGGGAGACATAGAAGAGTCCCTGAAACATAGTAGGTGCTTGGTTAGTGTGCTTTTCCTTAATGATTATGAAGAATATCTAATAGTTGTGGCTTGCTTACTATGTGACAGACACTGGGCTAAGTCTTGGCCAGCATTATCCCTTTAATCTCATTCCCTTCTCCCTGGGCAAAGGACTGCTCCCTAACTGGAGATCTGACTTTGTTCTCTCTGCCCCTTCAGGTCTACCCAGAAGTAAAGGACAGTAACCAAGCCTGCCTCCCTCCCAGTTCCTTCATTACCTGTTCCTCAGACAACACCATCCGCCTGTGGAACACAGAGAGCTCCGGAGTACATGGCTCCACCTTGCACCGAAATATTCTCAGCAATGTGAGCCTTGATGCTGTAGGGTCCCCACTTCATACTTAGTATTCCCATCCCCTCAGCCTTCACACCTTCTTAGGAACTGGGTCACAGACCTTGATTTTCCAGCTCTTACTTGACTGGGCCCTACAAGCCAAGGATTTATCTTGTCCAGCAATCCTCCCCCCTTGCAGTTATACTGGGTCAGACCTACCTTATCCACTTCTTCTCTGCATCTGCTCCACTAGGACCTCATTAAGATCATCTATGTAGATGGGAACACTCAGGCCTTGCTGGACACTGAGCTGCCTGGAGGAGACAAAGCTGATGGGTCCCTGATGGATCCCCGTGTGGGCATCCGTTCTGTGTGTATCAGCCCCAATGGACAGCATCTAGCTTCGGGGGACCGTATGGGCACACTCAGGTAATGCCAGGCCTGGAGTGGGTACTGACTGCCTCTCATGGTACAGGCTGGGGGAGTTAAGTCTCCAAGGACAGGGCTTTAGAAAAGTTTGGCTCAAAAAGATTGGGGAAGCTTTTTATGTAAAAGGGAAAGATAACTTTACAATGCAGAAACTGTCTCAAACAAATGATCAAGCTTAACATCTTCATGTCAACATTTGAAGCCCATAATATGATATACTAATGACATAGCATTGTTTCTGTGGTATTTTTGCCGAAAATGCGTACACTCAGACCAATCATGAGAAAACATCAGACAAACTCAAATTGTACATGCGACAGAGTACCTGCATTGATCAATACTCTTCAAAAGTGTCAAGGTCGTGAAGGGTGAGGGAAGACTGAAAAACTATTCAAGAGTACAGGAGACTAAAGAGAAATACCAACTAAATGCAAATTGGATAGGATCCTGGATTCAGAAAAAGAACATTGTGGTGGAAAAACTGGTGAAATTCAAATAAAGCCTTTTATTAATAGTATTATACGAATGTAAATTTCCTGGTTCTGGTCATTGAACTGTGGTTATGTAAAGATGTGTACATTAGGGACAGCTGGGTAAAGGAAATATGGAAACTCTTCTGTACTCATTGCAACCTTTCTCTAAGCCTAAAAGTTCAAAAATAAATAAGAGTAAATTTTGGAAAAGGTTGGAGGAGAGGAAGCAGGGTGGATCTCTCCTCCAGCAGCCTGGCAGTGACCTCTCCTACCCTCTCCTCATTTTTGCAGGGTGCATGAACTACAGTCCCTAAGTGAGATGCTAAAGGTGGAGGCCCATGACTCGGAAATTCTGTGCCTGGAGTACTCTAAGCCAGACACAGGTCAGGAGGGTACCTGGTCCCTAACCCAGAATGGCACAGGGCTCCTCCAATCCTGCTAGTGCCACTTACCTGTCCTGGCTCTTGGATGTGAGACTGAAAGTCCTTTGAATCATTTGGTGTCTTTGCAGGTTTAGAGGAGAACAGCTCCATCCCTGCTCCATGGGGCTCAGTTACCACAGGCCTCTTTGCCAGGCTCACGTAGGGGCCTGCTCTGGGCACTTGTGGGCTGATGAGTTCTTCTAACCCCAGGTCTGAAGCTGCTAGCGTCAGCGAGCCGGGACAGGCTGATCCATGTGCTGGATGCTGGACGGGAGTATAGCCTACAGCAGACATTGGACGAGCACTCGTCCTCCATCACTGCTGTCAAGTTTGCAGGTGGGGGCAGGGCAATTGAGACACATTCTTCCATCTACCACCAACATCACCCTTACCCCCCTCCCCACTGCCACCTGCCTCTTGCCTCTGTGAGAAAGTAGGGTGTGCCTATCATAGGGGAGTGTTGGACAGCTGCTGGGAGGTATGGGGCTGGATGGGAAGACAGGTGAAATGTAGACTCTCAGTCCAGGGGACCCTGAGCCATCCAGGTTGGCTGAAGATAAAGGAAAGCCTAGGTTTGGAAGTAAGCAACCTGATTTAATTGGTTGTCCCAGTCATGTAGAGTAGCTTGATAGGGGGGGGAATATGGAGGGAAGGCAGAGGAAAGGCTGGCCCCATGTGGTGAGAGCAGTGGGAACAGCTAGGCCCCTCTCCTCCATAGCCAGCGATGGGCAAGTCCGCATGATCAGCTGTGGAGCAGACAAGAGCATCTATTTCCGCACTGCACAGAAGGTGAGAGGACAAGGTTTCCCTGAATGGCACAGCGGGTGGCAGTGGGGATCTCTGCCATTCCTGTACCTGAGATTACAAGAGGTGGAGAGAGAAAGCAGGGCTCTCTGGGCCTCGTGATACATTGGGGCTTGGGATCTTCCCATATGCTCTACCCCTGCAGTCTGGAGATGGAGTCCAGTTTACACGAACACACCACGTGGTACGGAAGACGACCCTCTATGACATGGATGTGGAACCCAGCTGGAAGTACACAGCTATTGGCTGCCAGGACCGAAATATTCGGTGGGCATCCCTTTTTCAGACTATCTGACCACATTCCTTGATGCCCTAGGGGGTCAGCTCTAGGCACCTCAGTCCCTGTATCTGCCTTTTTGTCTAGGACTTTGTGACCCCTTGAGCCTATGGAATGAGTACTTCGCCTCACTTAAGAGGTGGTAGTCCCTTTGGTGTTGGGGAGTGGCTCCCATAGAGAATGTGGCTGGGCGTGAGTTCTGGCATTTCTGCCACCCGGGTGTGCTTGACTGTGACCTCTCCCTCATGTGAATGAGAGTGTGTTTCTTTACAGGATCTTTAACATCAGCAGTGGGAAGCAGAAGAAGCTGTTTAAAGGGTCCCAGGGTGAGGATGGCACTCTGATTAAGGTAAGGGCCCAGTAAGATGGGCTCTGGGCTAGAGAGTAGGAGGATGAGGGTACTAGGTGGAGAAGGACTGGTGCTCCCTATCTTCTTCCAGCTGTGTGTCCCACTCCTCAGGTGCAGACAGACCCCTCGGGGATCTACATTGCCACCAGCTGTTCTGACAAGAACCTCTCCATTTTTGACTTCTCCTCAGGCGAGTGCGTGGCCACCATGTTTGGCCACTCAGGTGAGTATAGTCCCAATCTCTACCGCTGGAACTTTACTCTTTCTTCCTTTAGATTTTGGGACCAATCAGAACTGCCTGCCCCTCCCTTCCAACTGAACCCCGACCTCCACTCTTGGGACAGAAGCTTGGCTGGGACTTCAGGGGCCTATAGGCCATATTCTTTGTTCTTCACAGAGATTGTCACTGGCATGAAATTTAGTAATGACTGCAAACATCTCATCTCTGTTTCGGGGGACAGGTAAGCAGAAGCACAGATGCTTCCCCTGCCACAACACACCCTGCCCCTCCCCTCTCTTCACCGTATGATGTTTCTGAAATGTAGGGGTGAACAGGGGTACTTCTTGGCTGGATCTAACCTGGCACTTCAGGGTGGCTCTAGTCTCCTGGCCAGCCCACAGAGAAGGGGAACTAATGGTGTTGCTACCCCTGGAGTCCTATCCTCCCCCTCCCCCTCCCTCACACAACTCTGTGGCTCTACCCAGCTGCATCTTTGTGTGGCGCCTGAGCTCTGAGATGACCATCAGTATGAGGCAGCGTCTGGCTGAGCTGCGCCAGCGGCAACGAGGGGTCAAACAGCAAGGACCGTCCTCTCCCCAAAGGGCAGCTGGACCCAATCGGTGAGAGCAGAGTATGGGATATGGGCAAGCAGTGGGTGGATGTCCAGATTGCTCACTGTCATCTTATTGCTCCTCCTCCTTGCTCTGAACCTGCCGTTCATCAACTCTATATCCCCCAATTCCTGTTTCTCACATGAAGACCCATCACGTTGTCCTCTTTCCTCATTGAGTCTCCTCTCCCATGACCTTCCCTGTCTTGGACTCAGGCATGAGGCCCCATCAGTGCTCTCTTCTGGACCAGCTCTCTCTTCAGATAGTGACAAGGAGGGAGAAGATGAGGGCACTGAAGAAGAAGAACTTCCAGCTCTGCCCATCCTTGCCAAGGGCACCAAGAAAGAACCAGGTCTGTGGAAGTCTGGCCTGGGGCTAGACAGGCACCAGTGGGTATAATGGCTGGATATGCTCTCTGGGACTGGGGGTGGTAAGAACAATGTGAGCTGAGGAAGCTGGAGCATCATTGTGGCCATGTAAGGTATGGGCTGGTGTGGGGTCGGGGCTGTGGGGTGGGTGGGCAGGAGACACTCTCTCTGATTGCCTGTCTCTGTCTAGCCTTGGTGCCCAGCCCAGCCCTGCCCCGAAGCCTGTCCCACTGGGAGATGAGTCGTGTGAGTCACCATCGTTAAAATGCCCTTCCAAAGTTACAGAGGTGAAGGAAGGTGAAAGCAGGGCTTTCTGGGCTTGGTGAGGCATTTGGGTGTGGGGTCTCCCCACGTGCTCCACCCTTTGTGTCCAAGGACGGGCCTTGGGCGGGGAGTTCAGGCAGCTGGGCTGGTCCCAGGTTAGGGATGATGAAGCCCAGGTGTTTCCTTCCTATGGGCCAAGTGAGCCACCTGCAAGGATTAGTCACTGCTAAGGGAAGTACTCCACTTATGCAGCTGCCTGGGGGCCTGGGAGTAAATTGAACAAAGAACAGGTTGAGGTAGGGAGTAGAAAGGGGGTGTCTGAGCCAAACGGTTAGAAGTAAAGTTCGAGAAAGTCAAAGATCCAAAGAGCAGAAAAGTGGAGAAACTGTAGTTCTAAAGAAACCCAGGTTAGGAGGTAAGCTCAGAACTTCAGAGAGAGGGGAAAGGCCGTAAGAGGACCAATGGCTGAGTACTTCAGGGCAGCCAGGAGGAGGGTAAAGGCTTTCAGAGCAAGCCCCAAGGCAGCTCCATCCTCACTTGTTTCGTGCTGGGATTTCAAGCGCCACCACCTTACATTGTCAGCAGCAGTTACCTGGGATGATGTGTTCTGACTAGGTCAGGCATCTCAAGGCTGGGCTGTTGATTTGTTCTTGGTGCTGTGAATGGACTTGGTTGGGGTCCTTACTGGGGCTATTTTCAGAATAGAGGACTTCTAGAGACTCCTAGCTTTGAGGTGTCCATGATACCAGGTGAAAACTGAGACTCTAAGACAGGACATAGAGTGAAGCTAAGAGCATGAACTCTGGGCCAAACTACCTGAGTTATAGCCTACAGGCAAGCCGCTTACTGTCTGTGGGACTTGGGCAAGTTACTCAAACCCACTGTGCTTCAGTTTTCCCATCTGTAAATATGGGGATAATATTAGTATCTACTTCATAAGTTGGTTGTGAGGTTTGAATGAGCTAATATAAATAAAGTGGCTGGCACACAGTAAGTGATATATGAGTGTTTGCTAAGACTCTTGAGTGATTGTTACTGTTACTCCTCTCCTACCCCTGCCCCACACCAGGCACAAGAGACAGGGGAGTTCCTGGATCCAGCTCCTACAGCCAACCAAGGACCCAGAAGAAGGGGGCGCTGGGCTCAGTCAGGTGTGGAGCTGAGTGTTCGCTCCATGCTGGACCTGCGGCAGCTGGAGACACTGGCTCCAAACCCTAGAGGCTCTAGCAGGGACTCTCTGGCCGTGGCCCCACCTGGTTCTGGGAAGCATGATCAGCAGACCCCTGGGACCTTACATGCTGTCCAGGTGAGCCAGCTTTCTCCCAGTTCCCTAGAGATCTCTAAGTAGCCTTAGCCAGCCTTGTGCCAACAGCTAGAGCCTGAGCACTGGTCCAGCTATGTTCATTCTGCCCCTGTGGCACATGTGGTAACCTGAACTGCAAATTCTGGGTGGGGGCTGGCTAGCCTGTGTGGTATAGTGTTTGTCTTGGGCTGGGTTCCTGGGAGGGCTGATGATATTAAGTGGTGGATAGAGGTTTGCAGTCAGAGTGCTAATATAGTTCTTCTAGAAGCTCAGGAACACTAGTTGGAGCCCAGCCTGGCTTCCTGGTGTCTGTCCTCAGAGTTGGAATATTCAGATTTTCCCAGATTTGGTGTACATCAAATCCTTGCCTACGCCCTCCTCTTTCCCAGATGCTCTGTCACATCAGCAACTCCAGTAATGCCCTTTTGTGTGTTTCCAGAATGAAGAGTCCCCTCAGCCTCAGGCTTCTCAACCCTGTTCCTGCCCCCACATTATCCGGTTGTTGTCCCAAGAGGAAGGGGTCTTTCCCCAAGATCTGGAGCCTACACCCATCGAAGATGGTATTGTCTACCCAGAGCCGAGTGACAGCCCCACCTTGGATACCAGGCAAGGATCCTGCTGTCCCAGACCCGTGGGGCCATGCAGCCCCCAGTCTTCCCATCCCTCTGAGTGTTTTTTGATGAGCGAAGGGCTGGCCCCAGGCTACTCAGCCCACCATGTCACCACTGCCTCATCCCCAGTCCTGCTCACAGGTGGGGAGAAGGAAGGCAGGAGTCCAGTGGGGCTGTTGCTTACCCCAGCTCACTGCCTTGTTTCCTCCTCCTGGCCTTCCTGGCAGTGAGTTCCAGGTGCAGGCACCAGCTCGAGGGACCCTGGGAAGAGTGTACCCAGGCAGCAGGGGCTCAGAGAAGCACAGCCCTGACAGTGCCTGCTCTGTGGATTATAGCAGCAGCCGCCTTTCCAGCCCTGAGCACCCCAATGAAGGTGAGGCTGCATTCCTGAGGGAGGGCCAGAACCATGCAGGCCAGTGGACCGAGGTGGGAGTGGAGGCTGTGTTGGCAGATGGGTGCAGCATGATGCTTCTCTCCCCCTCCACATCCAGACTCTGAGAGCACGGAGCCCCTGAGTGTGGATGGCATTTCCTCAGACCTTGAAGAGCCAGCTGAGGGTGATGAGGAAGAAGAGGAAGACGAGGGAGGCACTGGCCCCTACGAGCTGCAGGAAGGCGGCCCCCATACCCCGGACCAGGAGCAGTTTCTAAAACAGCACTTTGAAACTCTAGCCAATGGGGCTGCTCCAGGTGTGGTCAGAAGGCCAGTATATGGCCACTGCAATCTGCCTTGCTCCCCTCCACCTGGCTGAGAGGGAGGGTCCAAGGGCAGGCCATGCCCTGGGGTTGCCTTCTCCAGGGGGTAGAATCGGGGACAAGTGTTGGCTTCATTTCATGATTTCTGTCACCCTGGCAGGGGGCCCAGTCCGGGTACCAGAGAGGACAGAGTCTCAGAGCATCTCTTCACGATTCCTTTTGCAAGTGTTGACGCCCCCACTCAGGTACTCTCCCCACAGCAGCTCTTGCTCTGCCACAAGGATCTCCAGCTTTCCTGATCTCCCAGTGCTTCTAGTAGGGCCAGTCTTGCCCCTGGGGCAGCATGTAGCCCTCCTTTCTCCAAAGCTTCCTATACCCAACAGTATTTGCACTCCCAAGTTTTGGGATAACTGGCCTGGCTGGCTTTGTGCCTGCCTTCTTGCCTAGTGCCTCCCTAGTGCTATGGGAGTGTCTCCCCATCTTGGCAGGAAAGAATCCTGAGCCTCCTCTAAGCCTTCTTCCAAATTTCCTCCCTGTAGGGAACCGTCCCCATCTTCTTCAAGCCTGGCACTGATGTTGAAGCCAGTCCAGGTGCCGCACGCTTCTGGTGAGCAGCTGAGAGGCAATGGTGCTAATCCTCCAGGAGCACCCCCAGAGGTGGAGCCCTCCCCTGGAAACCCTGGCCCCCAGCAGGCAGCCCCTGTGCTGTTGCCACGACGCCGTGTCAATGCGGACAGCAGCTGGATCTCCAAGAGAGTGGCCACAGCCAGCCCCTTAGGTGGACTCCAGAAAGCCCAGTCCGTGCAGAGTCTGGCGCCACAGGGTGAGGAACCTGGTGGGCTCAGTTCCAGGGTGTGGGGAGTGTGGAGCACATGAGCATGCTAGAAGAAGGAGGGCCTGATGTAGCCCTATGTGTTACTGTGCTTGCCACTGGGTCTCCTTTAGTGGGTATGTGCGGGGCACAGCAGCTCCTCAGGAATTGAGCCTTGGCATCTAGGACACCTTCCTTACCACATGACCTGCGTATATCTCTCTCTCCTCTGTAGGTGGGGCTCTTCTACCAGGCCCATTACTCTTACGAGAGATGGAAGCCCAGGAGGGCCTACGTTCCCTACCCCAGGCTGATGACCATCTGTCTCGGCCCCACTCCTACCAGAACCCCACCGCCAGTTCCATGGCCAAGATATCCCGCAGCATCTCTGTTGGGGAGAACCTGGGCCTGGCGGCCGAACCTCAGGCTCCTGCCCCCATCCGAGTCTCGCCACTCAGGCAGCTGGCCCTGCCCAGCCGGGCTCACCTGGTCCTGGACATTCCAAAGCCACTGCCTGATCGTCCTACCCTGGCCACATTCTCACCTGTTACCAAGGGCCGGGTCCCTGGTGAGGCAGAACAGCCTGGCTCCCCAGTGGGCCTAGGAAAGGCTCACAGTACATCTGAGAGGCGGAGCTGTTTAGGGGAGGGTACCCCTCCCAGGCCTAGGACAGAGTGCCAGGTTCAGCCTGGGCCCATCAGCCCTTGTGCCCAGCACTTGCCGGTCGGCAGCCTCCTCCAAGACCCCGAGAATTTGCAGCCCCCACCCCCTGAGAAGACTCCCAGCCCTATGGAGTGCACCAGGCCAGGGGCAGCCCTAAGCCAGGCCTCAGGTGTGCACAGTTCCGCAGCTTTCATCTCCTGCCCCATCCTATCTCTCCCGTCTCTGTTGGCCGCTCTCTGGCTCCATTCCATTTCTGTGCGTCCAGCCTCTGGCGTTTTTCGTCCTGTCTGCTCCTGTCTCGGTCCATAAGTCACACCCCTGATGGTGAGACACTCCTGCCAACCTTCATGATCTCTCTGTAACCCACTTGCCCCTCAGTGCCTCTGGCCTCTGGACTGTCCCTTTCCTTTGGACTTAATTTTCTGTGTGGTGTTGGGAGGGTGTTGGGAAAGAAGAGGCAAAAGGAAGGAACTGAGGGCAAGTGGAGGGGGTATGATGCTGGAGGGTAGGCCTGTCCTCCTCTGAGCGGCCAAGGGTGGGGAGGCCTGAAAGGGCAGCTTTGCTGGGCCAGAGCTGTATTTGTCTCTTCCAGAACCAGTGGTAAGCCTGGAGCAGTGTGAACAGCTTGTGGCAGAACTCCAGGGCAGTGTGCGCCAGGCTGTGCAGCTTTACCACTTGGTACGTATTGGGCACTCACCAGTGGGGAGAAAGAGCATGTCAGGAGTGCTAGCTGAGTATCTAGAACATAATAATAAGGCTCTTCTACTGATGGGTAGGTGGAGCAATAGAGAACGTCCTGGGCAGAGGAGGCAAGGGGTTAGGGACCAGGCTGGGCCACTTGAACCAAGCACCTATTGGTTATTTCTGGCTCAGCGCTGGTGACTTCCTCAAATCAGAAGGTAGGGTAGAGAGCCCACATGTCCTAGTTTGCTCAGGACTATCCCAGTTTATACCTGTTGTCCCAGTGTAATTATTACTAGTATCCCTTTTCATATTCAAAAACTATTTGGTTGCCCTGGACATGGGGACAGTCCATCAGGGCCATGCCTTGCAAGAGGAGTTACTAACAAAATTTAGATGGTGCCGTAATCTGATGAGCTCCTTTTTTGGCATCACCTCAGAGTCTGCCTCTATCCCATAGCCTTTGGTCATACTTGCTGATCTTGGAGTATGGAATTCCCAGTCACACCCAGCTGGGCATGCAGTCCCTTCTTTGGGGGTGGGCTACCAAAGTGGGTTCCCTCCTTTTTATACACCCATTTACAGGTCCCTCTACTGTTCCTCCAACCCACTTCCTGGGTCCTGTTGCAGGTAGCTAGCTGCAAGACACCATCAGTGGAGCAAAGTCGCATCACCCAGCTCCTCAGAAACACCTTCTCTTCAGTACGGCAGGAGCTAGAGGCCCTGGCTGGGACAGTGCTGTCCAGCCCAGCCGGAAGCCCTGGGGCCGTGGGAGCTGAGCAAACACAGGCCCTGCTAGAGCAATACTCAGAGCTGCTGCTTCGAGCTGTGGAGCGTCGCATGGAACGCAGACTCTGAATTCCAGAAGCCTGCCCCAAGTGAATGCTCCCTTATTCCATACTAGCCCCTCCTCCACTCACTATAACCTGTGGGGATGCTTGGAGTGGATAGCAATGATCAATGCTCAGAGGGGAAGCAGCTCTCCCAGCTGCTCCTCATGGGGCCCCTGTATTTATTAATTTATTTCCCTGACTGTTGCCTCACTTTCTTGGAACTCCTGCCTCCACAGCCCCTCCAGTAGCTCATGCAGGGGTTAGGTCTTGGGTCTTTGTCATCTTGGTGCTGTGAGGAGTAGGAGGGCGGCCTGCCCCATCTGGGGGAGATCAGGAAGGGCTGGCCCTCTCTCTTCTTAGAAGCCATTTGAAATTACTGCAGGGATCAGCTCCCTGGGGTGGAGCACATACACAGGGTATTCAGTAGGTAGAGGTGAGCGGTAATGTGGTATTCAGTGCCCTTCAGCCAACAGCGGAGTCTCTCCTCTACCTCTACTTCCCCTCCCACACCAGCTGCACTCCCCTGGCTGCCAGAGCAGGGATTATCCATTTTCTCCAATTCCTGGCATTTCAGAAAGGCAGAGCCCTATGGCCCTTCAGGGCATTCCCAGCCATCAGGAGGCTTGAGTTTGTATCAAAGCCTAAGCCCCCACATTCCACTCCTATTCCCCCTCTAAGAGGGCCCTAGCAGTGTCTTTTTCCCTGTGCCCCCTTTTTGTCTTGGCCAGAACTTGAGGAGCCAGCTGTGGGATGTTGCTGCAGGACAGTAAAGCCCTCTGCTAGGCAGACATGAAGCCCTGGCCTCCTTCCTCTGCCCCTTGGCCTTCCCTATCCTCCAGCCCGGGTCCCCAGCAGGGTGCTGGAGCCCAGAGGCTGCCTCCCTGCATCCTGAGTGATGCTCAGTCAGAAGCCTATGTTGGAATTTTCCTCATGGTTTAGAAGGCACCAGCCCACCTTCTAAAGACCTTGGCCACAGATGAAAAATCACACACACACACACACACACATACACACACACACCCCAGTTGCGTGTTCATTGCTAGAGTACTTGGCTGACTGATGTGTGCCTGGTTTCCTTTTATGTCCTGCCCCAGCTTCACCACCCTGGCTCATGTGGAATGCCTGTCAAGAAGCATGAAGAGGGGTGGAACACACTAAACCCAAATTCTGGATTCTTGGCGTCCACAGTCTAGGTGCTATGAGATGGCCCATAGGATATCTGGTTTGTGTAGAAGGAGCCTCCTCAAAGGCAGTTCTGGGTACCCATTGTGCTCTGGATATTGGAGGTTGAGGGAAGGGAGGCACATGGGACTGCTGCAAGGGCCAAGAGACACATTGGAAAGGTGGTAGGAGGGACAGGTAAGTGGTAGAGGTGAGGGAATAGATTAGAAGGGCAGTTCAGGGTGAGGGGAAGGAGATAGGGCAGGGAGAGTTGGACCAAGTAGTGAAGCAGTTACTGAAGTGTTGGGGTGAAGAACGTGTCTCTGGGCCCTGCTGCTTCCCTCTGCCTCAGTTAAGGCAGGGCAGCTTTAGTGTATATATAGCTCCAAGCCACAAAAGCCCATTCTCCCGTGGACAGGCCTTTGTGCCCTACTGGCTCTATAGGCAGAGGCTTAGAAAGAAATTGGATTCTGAAGGACGCCCAGCTCTGTTTGGGTCAGCCTGAGTGCACCTGAACAGATGAAGCCTATTTCACCCCTACTGTTCTTTGCTACCCTTATCTGTATGGCCAATCTACAGAGAAACCCTGGGCCCAAGCACTCTTCACAGAGGGTGGACCCCCTGGTAGCTGCAGCTACCCTAGTCAGGGTTAGAAATACACTTCCACCTGTACCCCTAGTCCCAACTCGCACACCAGCCACAGCCCACGCCGACTGGGGCTCTCGCCGGGCCCTCTGGGCTGGGTTCTTAGTAATCCTTAGCCGGTCTGTCCCTAACAAAGAGGGAGCAATACTCCAGCTAATGTTTGTGAGAAGGTGGCTGCCCTTCTCCTACCCTTAGCCCAGCTTTGGGATGGGTGGGAATCTTGTGGCCGGTCTGGCGCCCGTTCCCTTCTGCATGTCTGAGGCCACCGGCAATTGCCGTCCCTGTCCAGATTTGCCCTGACCAAGTTTTGAAAGACCCTTATTTATAACTTTTATACTTTGCCCAGGCCCTGGCGCTTTCCTTCTCCCCAGGTTTCACGGGGCAGGGGCTGTTTTTAACATGTCCATTTGTATTGATGTATGAACTGGTGAATAAACAATCATTTGTTAAGTCTGGGACGCCACCAAGCGGGGCACGCATCAGAAGGCGCTTCTCTCGCCGCGTGGGCAGCAGAATGCGGCGGT